AATATGAATTTGCTGAAACTGATACATGTGGATGCCGCATCAATATGTCCCGAAAGTCTCAACAAAGTGTGCAGTAACTCTGTTCTATTTATTAAGAGTTTACGCTGCAACTGTAATATTATTATAATTGTTTTTCGATCCCCCTAATTGTCAACCGTTCAAAAATAAAAAAAAAAGAAGTCTCAACAAAGTGGTACGGATTACAATACGGAGGACTTAATTTTTTTGGACGTTTTCTATCAGATGCTTTTTTTTAAAGCTGTAGTCCACGGTTATTGTCGACTTTAGACATTATCAGATGTTTTTTTTTTTAACAATTATCATAAGACCAAATTTAACCATTGTCGAGAAAAAAAAAAAAAAAACCTTTACAAAAGTTACGAATATCACCCGCCCTATAAGTCAAGTTCATCAGATGCTTGTTATTGATGCTGAAGTCTACAGTTATTGTCATTCAAACTTGTTAACTTTAGATAATATACACAAATACACGACTTGAACGGTCCGTTTTCACTTAGTGATGTTAAACTCTGAATTATAACTATTCATCTTCGTGAGTTGTACGTTTGAACCCCACAAAACTTCTTTTCATGTGGTTTGTTTATATTTTTTATATACTTTTTTTCTATAATTAATAATTTTGAATATATTAAGAAAATTTTTTAAAAAATTTAATGAATACTTATTTAAGAATTTTTAAAAAAAATTTATCATTACATTAATTTTATATTAAGTTAAGATATTTAATTTGGCTAGCTACATATTTTCAGCAATCCCTTACACGGAATTAGAATTTCAAAGCACGTTTCTCCATTCTCATTAATTAAACCTGAAAACCATAGAAGAAAAATCAAGATTATGTCCTGCTCATCCACTATTATCCTAAGAGGTCCTCGTCTTCCTTTCAACTGATACTTATATTAGAAACTTCTCTTGGCGTCATAATTCATCATCGAATTATTCTTACATAAGATCTATATAGACTTCTCCCCAAGTCAAGTGACCATCTAGAAACCAATCGTGTCAACTTTGCCGCGTTTGGAAGCAAAACATATTTCTCCCCATTTCCGTGCACCTTCCAGCTGGAAATTGTCTTCCCCTTGTGATTTTCTAGTTTTGAATAGTCACCATTCCCCGAACACTATATATCAGCCCTGTCGCCCTGGATCTGCCACGACCTATCATAGTATTTCTTCAATTCCCAAAGAAAAAGGAGAAACAGGGCAAAAAACAGAGATACGTCTTTTTTTTTAAAAAAAAAAAATTTTGGGAAAAGCAGAAAAAACAGAGATATTTTTTTTCTTTTAATTTTTTGGGAAAGGCGGAAAAACAGAGATACTAGGAAAAACATTTCCTTTGTTTGATTCTGATATACAAAGAAAAATGGCTGAGGAGACCCAGCAAGGGCATCCCATGGCTGCGGCGAATGGCTACCCGAGGAGTGACGAAGAGGCAGCGAGCATCCAGGCCA